TTTATTCCAGGTGCATTGGTCCTTTATATTCATTCCAGTAAAACCTTCTCATAAAGAACTAAAAAAATTGTTCAAAAAAGTCTCCTTTTTGCAGACTAAATTAGAGAATCTGGTCTCCAAGTAAAGCTGATGTATGCCTTGAAGTTGTAACATCTAATGCATATTTGTGTTCCTTGCTGGTCCCAGTGCACAGCATGGCAGCCTCTGTGTGTTAGGAAAAGCTTGCATTTGTGAAGTGACCGGGAGGTCAGGGATGAGTGGTAGGATCAGAGCAATCTCTGATGTGTGACTCAAAGTCCAAAGGAAAAAAAAATATGAATTTTCAACATGATTCATGTCAGTTGACTTGGGAAGATGGAATGGCTTGAAGCAAAAACTAGGATCATTCCCAAATGGCAAACTACAAGGGATACTTTTTATATTTTAGCTTATTTATGTGCAAAATAATTCAACATTTTGTTATACTTCTCTCATTTGGCCACCTTTCTTGTGGCTGATGTCTGGTTTCTTCTTTCTCATGTTCTAGTAATAATTCTAATTTTGTTGATTTCCCATTACTTCTAACTATCCTAGAAACAATGGGTACCAACTAAAATAGGAAGAGTAAATGTAATAGACAGTGGGAAGCTGACAGCAAAAAATTTCACTATAAGAAGAAATTTGAGTTTAAAGCATAAAAGAAGTTAAAGTTTTTTTAAAGGCAATTTTTTTTTACTTACATTCTATGCATTAAGGAAAAAACCCTTCTGTGCGTAGCCCCTCTTATACTTACGTAAGCCATGTCGATCCAGCACTGTGCGTGAGAGCAGCATCACTGCTCTCTCTCCTCACTGGCTCAGAAGCAGCAGGAGCCATTGGCTCCTGCTTCTGTCACTCATAGCCATTGAGGAACGAGCAGTGACAGGGCCAAGCTGCACTGTGTGTCAATGGACACAACAAGCGTGGCTTGGGAGCAAGCCCCCATGAGTGCTCCCATAGCAAACAGCTTGCTAACGGGCAATCAGCAATGGGAGGGGAGAAGGTCAGGAGCACCAGTGGGGAGCCCAAGAAGATGAGGATCTGGGCTGCTCTGTGCAAAACCATTGCACAAAGCAGGTAAGTATACCACATTCATAGTTCTATAGTCACAGCATACACTTTAATTTTTTAATATCAGAATTATAATAACAATTTAAATAATGATTAGTTATAGTGTTATATTTGACAATCCAATATAAACTTATTTAAAAATGTTCTTTCATGTTGTGAGTGCTGCTGTCTTCTGACCATCTCTTTCCACACTTTCCTGGATTCCGTGCATGCTTTGCACGCTATATATTCCATGGTACCTTGCTGCCTGCAGGCAGTAATTCTCTACTGACTCCACCTCCAGAAATTCCTCCTCTCAGCACCTCTGTAGTTCAGAAGGTGGGCCTTGTGAAATGTGTGACACAGCAGTGCCTACTCACAGGGCATAGCTGAATAGGTGTCACAGAATTCAAGGACGTAAATGTGTCGGAATCTTTACACAGTAAGTTTACAAACTTCAAGATTGGTCAAATTAATAGAAGTAGGCTAGAAATAATTGAAATATAATGCAGATATGAATATATGATTTTACATTTTGACCACAGATTTGCTTTAAATAGTTACTTTTCCAATGGGCATCAACTAAAACATTAATTCTCTTCCACAGCATTGAGCGCTGCTGCTGTCCAACAATTTTGGGTCTGTTGGGTAGCCTGTTCCTCACTTGGCTATGTAAATCCACTTGCCAGGTGCTACATTACTGTAGGGCACATCAGTAGCATCTGGCCAGAGGAACAATATCACTTAGTGAAGAATCAGATGTCAGACACATCTGGAAGTGTTGGTTACCAGTGCTTACCCTGTAGCTCTTCAAGAAAAGAAATTAGATATATGTATTTTTCTTGCTTTCACAGTTAGGTACACTACTTTACAAAGATCAGCCATACCGTTATGACCATCCAGCTAATACTGAGTAGGTCCCCCTCTTGCTACTGAAACAGCCATTACCCATCAGGACATGGACGCCACTAGACCTCTGAATGTATGCTGTAGTATCTGGAACTAAGCTGCTATTAGCAGATCTTTTAAGCCATGTGAGTTGTGAGTTGGGGCTTCATGAATCAGACTTGTTTTTCCAGCACATCTCACAGATGCTAGATTAGATTGAGTTCTGGAGGATTTAGAGGCCAAGTCAATATGTATCATGTTCTTGAACCATTTTTTGCAGTGTGGCAGGGTGCATTATCCTGCTAAAAGAGGCCACTGCCATCAGGGAAAACTTTTCCATGAAGAGGTGTACTTGGTCAGCAACAATGTTCATATAGGTGGTACATGTCAAAGTGACATCTATGTGAATGACAGAACCAAGGTTTCCCAGCAAAACATTGCCCAAAGCATCACACTGCATCCAGTCATCCACATGATGTAAAAGGAAATGTGATTCATCTGAGGAGGCCACTTTTTTCCATTGCTCCCTGGTCCAGTTCTGATGCTCAAGTGCCCACTGGTGGCACATTTGGCTGTGGACACTATCCAGTCACAGACTGGGGGAGGGGGAGAGGCAAGAACTGTAAGTGTCACTGAACTGCAGCAAAGAAAATTTGGGTCTCCTTCCCTTCTGGACAGGTCTGTCCTGTGTGGCAGAACAGTGTAAATTCAAAACTTGATATAAAAATACAAATACTTTGGCAGGTAAAATAACTCCTATGTATGTATGTCATCTGCGTGTTTAGCTGTTTGCCTGGAGTTCAGCTTTGAGCCTCAAGATCAAACTACATTTGTCATTAGTAAGCCAAATTCTTTTTTAACCACTTCCTGCCTGGCCTAATATAATAAAACAGCCAAACGGGAGCACCGTTATCCTAGATGGACAACAAATGACACTCTCCAGGCGCTCCCCAGGGGCCTCCCAGTGGCTGGATCTGTCACCTTAAAAATAAATAAGTGATATAGCACTGCTATATAATAGCTACAAAAAATGAAAAAGTGACATAACTGAATAAAACGTCCATAGTAAGTCCATAGATGTGAAATCAATCAATTTGTATTATGTGATAAAGATTCTTCAATAATTCATGTGCTTTCTTCTTGTGCTGGTATCCCAAACACCATCAAATGAAACAATACACATAATACATATAGTGCCACCTCAGGGCTCACAGAACTCTCACCTCAGAACACATGGAAATGTGCTTTATAATATCAAAATAGCCAGAAGGATTCTTAACTTTTTCAATCCACAACCTTATGCTATTAATCAGACATCTATGAGCTTTCAATAGACTGTCAAACCAGAGCCAGGGATCGGTCCCTTTAAGGGCAATGGAGGTCACATATTCCTATCCTTGAGGGGGAACAAAGGACACTCCCATGGTGCAGTATGTACTAGTATAAACATGTATTAAGAAGCAGTAATACACTCACATGTAGTAAATTAATAAAATGTCATAAAATCACCAGATGCAGGCTTCACTTGTTGTCAGCTAAACTCACTATTCATGTCTGCCTGGAGTCACTCCCCTTACGTGTTACGTCACGCCCATGTAACTTCATCAGAGGGATCATCCCTCAACAACAAGCCAATCACAGCTATCACAATTGTACACGACGGCACATGAATGGATGCTATTCATAAAAACGATTGCTTATAAGTGATTATCACTGTAATAAGCAATCATAGTGTCAAAAAAATAAAATAAAATCCAGATCTCCTTCCCAGAGCAGTACAGTGCCACTATAAACAATAAATAACATCAAAAGAAAGCTTTATTTGTCTAAAAAAAAGATAAAAATGTCATTTGGGCACAGTGTCCTATGACTGAGTTATTGTCATTCAAAGTATGATAGTGCTGAAATCTTAAAATTGGCCTGGGCAGGAAAGGGGTAAAAGTGTCCGGTATGGAAGTGGTTAAAGACAGTCGACAGTATCCAGCAACATAGGTGTAGGTGGTAAATCTCTTTATACCCATAGTACAGTTATACGTTTTTGGAAATACCTGAACATTTTTTTAGTAGCCAAAGCCACTTTCATAAATATTTCTAAACTATAAGTATTTACAAGCACTCAAAATCAAGGAAGTAATCAAAGCTACTGACAACAATATGTTCTCAAACTGTAAAACCTAACCAGTAAAAACTATCATTCATACACGGCACAGTATGTATTCAGTTGTTGTATGCAGTCAGCGCTGTCAGTGTAATGTTGAAGACAAATGAGGGCCATTAAGCCTTGGTCAAAAGGGACACAAATATTACTTTTGAAGTGCCGCTCTATGAGTCATTTATATATATTTTAAACCCATCCCAGAAGTCACAGAGATAGATGGAGGCACAATAAAAAAACTAAAATATGGATTAATTGTTCCTGAGGTACAATTGAATTCTTCTTTTATCTACATCTGAGAATATCTCTTGTTTATATGATTTAGAAAAATGCAGGCTGTTTGAAAGTTTCTTTTATATTTCCCATAGCCAATAAAAACTGAACTTTTCTATGGAAAAGATTATGTACAGTATGTGTGTATATATATATATATATATATATATATATATATATATATATATAATTTATTAAACATAAGAAAGTTATGCATCCATTTATGTATACTTAATCATTCTATTATTTATTATATTCTAGTATTCTTTAAGGGAATCATTATTTTTAATAAACAGAACTGATCACCAATGAACACTTGTAACAATTTGCATTTCGCTTCTAGAATTATTATAAAATTGCACCCTTGCATCAAAGAGATTTTTTTTTCTTACTTAAATCAGGTTTTATTTTTCAAATGTTTTTCAATTTTGTTTACAAAAATATAGTAACAATTCATGCATCACATAATTTAACATAGGAAAAAAAATAGCTATGGTATATTCTAGCATTTGTATATTTAATCCCAAGAACGAAAAATATTATATATTGCAGCTTGCCAGTCCTTACATGTGGTGGCTGCATATGTTTTTTTCTACAGGCTTCCCTTTTTTTGATTCAGCCAGTAACATGATTCCTGTCCTAAGGTGACAACCAGGGGCAGACTGACCATTTGGAAACTTGGGCACTGCCCGAGGGCCCGGGGTCAGTAGGGGGCCCCATGAGATGCCCCTGGTACCTTTTTCATAGGCTTTTTTTTAGTTTAGACAAGGACACAGGGGCCCCATGATCCCCTATTGCCCAGGGGCCCCATGGGTTGTCAGTCCGCCCCTGGTGACAACATTCACTCATCATACTGTATCTATGAAGGAATCGTATAATCACACTAGGACAGGACTACAGAACACCCCCACCATCTCCATGACATTTGAGGGAGGTGTTCTGTTGTCCACATTAAAAGTAACTGCTAAGAATGCAGCACAGGCAGATAGCTCACACGATTTCTGGCAGGATCAACATGCTTTTTTTTGTACTTATCAAACACAACAAAATGCTTTCAATGGTATAGACACTCAAAAAATAGAAAGAGTAGTTGATGCTTGGGATAAACTTCCAGCAGAGATAGAGAGCCTATAAACAGTAAATAGCTTCAAGAATGCTTGGGACAAGCACAGATCTATAATCAGATAAAAAAGATAACAAAACTAAAACTCAATGGACCGCTCAGTCTTTTTCTGCTGTCACTTTTCTATGTTGCTATGTTTCTAAACCTGTCATATAACAAATGCACTGTCAGGATTACATGAAAATAAACTTAATTTTTGTTAATTGGTCCTAAAGGCTTATGCAGGCCATACATGGTTCAAATTCCGAACGATTTTTATACAAAAATCGGACCTAAGAATAATCGGCCATTTTTTGCTATGTTAGTGGGGCACTTGCATCAGCCGATTTTCGTGGTTCCTCCCCATTTCGTTTCTCGGGCATGCTGGAAAATTTGTGAAAAACGACTGATTTTTTAAATCATTGATGGCACCATCAGATTACAGAACGAACGACGTTTCGATTCGTGGACGAAAATTTGTTTGGAATTCGAACCATGTATGGCCTGCATTAAGATTTTTACCTTAATGTGGAGAAAATCCTTCAGTATGCAGCTCCCCCCAGCCCCTCCTTACACTTACCTGAGTCCAATCTCAATCCAGCGATGTTAATGAGAGCAGTGTCTCTATTGGCTCTCTCTCTCCTCATAGGCTCAGTCGTTCATAGCCAGTGAGGAGGGAGCTGGGGGGGGGCAGGGCAAAGCCACACTCTGTGTGTTTATGGACGAACAGAGCCGGCTCAAGAGCAAGCCAGCATGAGTGCCCCCATAGCAAGCAGCTTGCTATGGGAGCACTCAGAGGGGGAGAGGAGCCAGGAGCTCCAGCGGGGGACCCCAGAAGAGGAGGAAAAACCATTGCACAGAGCAGGTAAGTTTGTTATTAGAAAAAAAAACCATTTACAATCAGTTTAATTGTCAATCTAACCTTTCTAAAGAAATTAAAAGAGTGTCATTTGTGAACCCAGCAGGAGACTAGCCAGCCTTGATGGGAGCCTTACAAATGACACTGGGCTGACAATAGCGTTTCAGGTTCCAACAAATGCCTATTTCTGACTAGTTCTTTCAAAAGTTATGACATTAAGGTGATCCTTATAGTGATTGGCCTAATGTAAATAATCTCTCAACATGTCAAGTTTCTACTCAAAATTAGAAAAGATTTACATATACACAGGGATAGGTGTATTTATTCATTACAACATGGACTTTCATTGAAAACTAGATATTATACTATACTATACTATACTATACAACACTGTTTTAACCACTTAAGAGCCGCCCCATAGCACATATACTGCTACAAGATGGCTCTGCTGTACAAAATTATGTAAAAATATGTGATTTTGCATCTCTGGGTAAAGGGCGCACATGTGCGCCGCCCTACCTGCTCCACTATTGGCTGCTGGATATGTCAATCATCGGGTCCCTGCCAGCGATTCCTGACCAGGACTCAATGATCATTGGCAGGGCTGAAAGGGGAGAGATCTGTGTGTAAACAACACAGATCTCTCTCTTGTCAGCAAGGACATGCTGCTTTCTATGTCTCATACAAAGCAGCATGTCTCCCAAGTAAAACACACACAGCACACAGTAAAACACACACAACACACTGTTAACCCTTTGATCGCCCCAGATGTTAACCCCTTCCTGCCCAGTGTCATTAGTACAGTGTCAGTGCTTTTTATTAGCACTGATCACTGTATTAGTGTCACTGGGGATGTCAGTGGCAGTTAGTCAGTTCCCACCCAGTGTCAGAATGGCTGCTGCAGTCCTCCTATAAGTCACTGATCACCACCATTACTAGTATAAAAAAATAAACATTCCAGTATATGTACCGCCATTTTTAGACGCTAGAACTTTTACGTAAACCAATTGATATACACTTATTGGGATTTTTTTGCCTAAATTTGTGAAGAAAATTTAATTTTATTATTTCATATGTTTTCTAGCAAAAAGTCAAAAATATTGTTGGGTTTTTTTTCAAAATTGTCAGTATTTTTTTTGTTTATAGCGCAAAAAATAAAAACCGCAGAGGTGATCAAATACCACAGAAAGAAAGCTCTATTTTGTGGGGAAAAAAAGACATACATTTCATTTGGGTGCAGTATTGCATAATCGTGCAATTGTCAGTTAAAGTGACGCAGCGCCGTATCGCAAAAAATCTTCTGGAGGGCAAGTGGTTAAATGCTTTGAAGTGATTCTTTTGCCAGAAAAAGGAAATTAAAAAGCTCTCTCAAAAAGCAAATAATACTGCATAGTGGCTCAGATCTTTGCTTTTTTTTTGAAGCGCTATGCTGGCCAAAGAATTTTCAGCAACCAGATACTCCTGAGTGTGCTGAATGCCCGTGTTCCCCACTATGAGGGCCACCACCCACAATGCACTGACAACTCATGGGGCCCCTGGGAAGTAGGGGATCATGGGGCCCCTGTGTCCTTACCCAAACTCAAAAAAGCCAATGAAAAAGGTACCAGGGGCATCTCATGGGGCCCCCTACTGACCCCGGGCCCTCAGGCAGTGCCCGAGTTTCCAATTGGTCAGTCCGCCCTGGTAGTGATGTAGTGGCAGGTGGGATGAGTCACAGCAGGGACACAAATATTTGACACATCCAGATTTTTGTGGAGTACATAACAATTTTCTGCTGGTATATTTCTGATAAAAAGTGAACTTTTATAGGCTGCTTTTTTATATTATCTTTCTGGCAACAAAGAGGCTTTAAAGCCAAACTCTGGGTAAATAAGAAAACTACTCCTTGTGGTGGGGCTGTGCGGCACTGCAAGGGTTAGTTGCTTGTTTTTGTCTATGGGACAAAAAAATATTTACTTACCTGTCCATTCACTCCTCCTCGAAGCTAGACTAGTCCCTGCAGCATCTGCACCCACATACTTCACAGATCTAACGTCACCAAGACCAGAGCAGGGTCCATAGCCCTGATATGAACATGAGGATAGCGAGGGACAGCCCACTGCTAGATCACAGGAAAGAGCAGCCTGCCAGGGGGAGCACAGGATCGGGTAAGTAAATCTGTTTCTCCTGTCACCTAGACAAAGTGAGCTATTAACTCTTTTAGTGCAGGCACAGCCCCACTGCCAGGAATAATTTCTAATTTGCCCAGAGCTTAGCCTTAAATAACGAAACATTAATTTTAGAGATGAAACTCTTTTCCCTGCCAAGGGACTTCTAATTCTGTTCTCCCAGTCTTGCGATTTGCACAGCCAGGCAGTTGCCACCTCATTTTCTGGGTTTCGGTTTTGCAGCCTCCTGTGTCAATAATCCTCCTCAAGTCCACTCACTGAACGATGAACAAGCATCATCACCTCTGTTGAATGTTGAGGTGACCCAGGAAGCAGTATGGCTGAACCAAAAAATGGCAGAGTGCTCCCTTCTGATTGCATGGTGTGGGGTGTAAGAGTCACAGACGTTTCTGTACATAGCTACAGATCATTTGGCAAGTAAAACAGTCACCTTGTACTGTTTGCATGGATTTCCACCTTAACTTTATGATGATGTGGACATTTGCAGATGTTGTATCTCTAAAATACACAACATGTATTTACATTCACCTTTTTTCTAACCTCATTTATTTTTCTCTCAGTTTGTTCACAGTTTGCCAAGGGAGTGTATGCCATATTCGGGTTCTATGACCGGAAGACAGTCAACATGTTGACATCATTTTGTGGTGCTCTTCACGTCTGCTTTATAACCCCCAGCTTCCCCGTAGCCACTTCCAATCAATTTGTCCTGCAGCTCAGGCCGGAACTTCAGGATGCCCTAATCAGCGTGATAGAGTATTACAAGTGGAAAAAATTTGTGTACATTTATGATGCAGACCGAGGTAAGACAAATCTCTGTTGCTTTGTGGCCTTTTCTTGTATGGACTTATCTCATGTATTGTACCAAGGAAAGATTTGTCTTCATAGATGTTTTAATTTTATTACGTGCCATTATTATTGAGGTCACTTCAGAAAACTAGATATACTGCTCTATGCTCCTTCATTCCAATATGGTGACTCTCACTGTGGGTGCTGGTTGGGGAGAGCCCATCCTACAATGAATCCAACAAAAGAGATGTCCCAAATTCTGCACACCACGATGCCAAACACTCGCTTGCGTAAAAGTATCAAAAGCACAGCTGTGTCCAGGCCCCACCCCAGGCACGTTTTACCCCGCCCATAAGGCTTAGTCATGACTAAGTCCTGTGGGCGGGGTCAAATGTGTTGGGGCATGGCCCTGACAGAGCTGGACTGAGGCTGTTTTTACTCAAGCGACTATTGGGCATGCTGGTGTGCAGGATTCGGGACATCTCCCATGCTGGATGCATTGTTATTGAAGTACATAAAGGAGACGTACAATCAAAGCTGTTTTGGCTGTACTTCTCCTGTGGGTCACAGGGGTGCAGCTTGTTCTGCACTCCTGTCAGGGGCATCCCTAGGGTTGGTGTCACCCGGTGCCGGAACACTAGGTGACACCGCCTCTCTCTCTCTCTGCCCTCTCTCTCTCTGCCATATTTCTCCCCCCCCCTCTCTCTCTTCTCCTGTGGGTCACAGGGGTGCAGCTTGTTCTGCACTCCTGTCAGGGGCATCCCTAGGGTTGGTGTCACCCGGTGCCGGAACACTAGGTGACACCGCCTCTCTCTCTCTCTGCCCTCTCTCTCTCTGCCATATTTCTCCCCCCCCCTCTCTCTCTTCCCTTTTTTTCTCCCCCCCTCTCTCTCCCCTATCTCTCTCCCCCCTATCTACTACATGAAGCTGCAGTGCTGTCACCAGGGTCCGGGGATTACACACTGACCTGCTGCATACTCTGCCCATCCCTCCAGCCCTCTGACTTCTAGACCTATGGCAGGGATGTGGACCCGCCTCTCTTCTGAAACTCCGAGGAGGAGAGGTGTCCATAGTGCCTGCCTCACTGTCCTTCCCCTCAATGCTTGCTTGTTTCAGCAGCGGCACATACAGGGACGGACTGAGCCTCTCATGGGGCCCTGTAGTGACCCTGTGCCTTCGGTCAGTCCGCCCCTGGTAGAGGGGGTCTGGTGTCACCCCGTGCATAAGGTGTCACCCAGAGCGGCGAACCCCCCTGCACCTGCCTAGGGACACCCCAGACTCCTGTGACCTATTTTCAGCCAACAAAGGGCTAAAGTCCACTGTTGGCTGACGTCATTCAGCCAGTCCAGGCTGGGGGAAGATCCCAACCATATAGTCCACCCAGGAGCCTGGACCTGCACCTGGCTCAGCCTTTCAGTAATCCACTGAGATTCTGAGCCAGTTGCTCCTGCCCCTCCACAGCCTAGAGTACAAGTGAGTGCTGGGGGGGGGCAGAGCAGACAGTGGTGACAGTCACCACTCTGAGCGATCAACAGTGTCTGATCACTTAGTTCTCATCCTTAGAACCAGCGGGGGACAGATGCAGCATCAGATCAATTCTGCATCTACTTAGGTAAGTATAATTTTTAAAAAATCCCAAACTTATCTTTTCATACAATTTTGACTTCAACAATCCAACTCCTGATGTAACCATATAACAAGCTCAAGCTAGAATGTACACATGCAGGTGAATAAGTCGGAAAATTGACTCCTTTCTCTTTCTTTACCTCCCTGCACAGTTCAGACTGGCCTTACTAAGTCATAGATAAAGAGAGAGAGAGAGAATATGAAGGTACACAGCTTCTGTTGTGCTCTCGCATTAGAACAGTGTTCATTTCGTCGACTAAATTAACACTATTTAATCGACTAAAATATATCTAAAAGTAAAACAATTCAGATGACTAAAATGGGACTAAAACTAATATGGCATTTTAGTCAAAAGGCTAAAATACAACTAAAGCTAAAATGGCATTTTAATCAAAAGACTATGACCAACACTAAATCAAAATTTGACCTCAAAATTAACACTCCACTACCACATGAGTATAACTAGGGGGCATCTACGAAGCTGCTAAAAGAAAAAAAATAAGAAAAAGACCTTTCTTTTTTTTTCTTAATATTTAACATTGGTAATATATTTAGGTAATATCTGCAATGGCGTTACAACCAATACAGTTTACAGTTTTTTGGGGTTTTTTTTAAGTTGCGCTTCTGTTTGTTAAAAAGCAATATTTTTGTTTGTTTATGAAACTTGGTTCTATTTATAAAGATGTTATATATCACAACGGCTAATCTGTGTCAATAGTGCATGTTCAATCCTTAACACCATAAACAATTACATTTTTATTCCAGGAGAATATAATGAATTTGGCAGTTCTAGAGAAATGCTTAAATAATGCATTACAGTTTAACTAAACCCATTAGATTTTAGTCAACTAAATTGTACTGGAGATTTTATTCGACTAAAATACAACTAAAACTATAACAATTCAGATGACTAAAATACGACTAAAACTAAAATGGCATTTTAGTGAAAAGACTAAAATACAACTGAAACTGAATTTTTTTTTTAGTCAAAAGACTATGACTAAAACTAAACTGAAATTTGATGTGAGAATTACCACTGCTTTAGAAAGCTTATAATTCCCAGTGTCAAAGTGTTTTTTTACATCAATTTAAAAATGTATACTCTATAAAATAAGGTTGAACCCAAACCATTAAAATTTACCTTTGAAGTGAAGTTATGTCCAGCCTATAAAAATTCAAGTATTTGCATTGGTACAGTCCGGGGTCAGGCTCGGAGATCAGTAGCTATACCGTAGAGAGGTTCATATCGACCATCAGAATAAGTACTGTACCTGAGAAGGTCACCCTGGCAGATGATGCAGGCTCTCTCGAAACGTGGGGTTTAAGCATTAACCAGTCTTCACCAGAGCTTCTGATGATGGAAATGGGTTTTGTTGCGTGATAGTGCCAGGTTGTGATCCTCATGATCGTCACATCAGCACAACCCCTGGCAAAAAGTATGGAATCACCACTCTTGGAAAATGTTCATTCAATTGTTAAATTGTGTAGAAAAAAAAAATCACAGACATGCTTCAAAAGTATTTTAATTTACCATTCCAACTTTCTGGCACTTAAAAAAATAAAAAATAAATAAAAATGTAGTAAATTGCAACTGTTTTTGCAGATCAAGCAGAGGAAAAAAATATGGAATCACTCAACTCTGAGGAAAATATTATGGAATCACAATATAATTTGCAGTTCTAAAGCAAACATCTGCATCAGATTACATCTGCTAATTTGTCTGCAGTTAAAAAAGAGTGCTTGCACGCCTTGGTGAGCTGTTGCACCAAGCTGATTGACATGAATCATGGCTCCAACACCAGAGATGTCAGTTGAAATAAAGGAGAGTATTATAAAACTTCTGCAAGAAGGAAAATCATCACGGAATTTTGCAAAAGATGTTGGTTGCTCCCAGTGAGCTGTGTCTAAAATCTGGAACAAGTACAAATAAAATGGGAAGGTTGTAAAAGAGAAGTGTACTGGTAGACCAAAGAAGACATCAAAGCGTCAACATAGAAAACTTAAAGCAATATGCCTTGAAAACAGAAACTGCACAACAAAACAAATGAAGAACAAATGGGCAGAAACTGGAGTCAAGGTCTGTGACAGAACTGTAAGACATCACCTAAAGTAAATGGGATTTACATACAGAAAAGCCAAACAAAAACCATCATTAACACCTAAACAGAAAAACACAAGGTTATAGTGGGCTAAAGAAAAGCAATCATGGACTGTGGATGACTGGATGAAAGTGATATTCAGTGATGAATCACGAATCTGCATTGGGCAGGGTGATGATGCTGGAACTTTTGTTTGTGCCGTTCCAATGAAATGTATAAAGACGAGTGCATGAAGAAAACATGCAAATTTCCACAATCATTGATGATATAGAGTTGCATGTCAGGTAAAGGTACGGGGGAGAGGACAGTCATTAAATCATCAATAAATGCATCATTTTATATTGAGATTTTGGACGCTTTTCTTATTCCATCAATTGAAAGGTTATTTAGTGGTGATGATGATATAATTTTTTAGGATGATAATGCATCTTGCCATAGGGCAAAAGCCATGAAAACTGTCCTTCAAGAAAGACATATAATTTCAAAGACATGGCCTGCAAATAGTCCAGACCTCAATCCAATTGAAAATCTATGGTGGAAATTAAAGAAAATGGTCCATGACAAGGCTCCAACTTGCAAAGCTGATCTGGCAACTGCAATAAGAGAAAGTTGGAGCCGGATTGATGAAGAATACTGTTTGTCGATAGTTAAATCCATGCCTCGGGAATTCAAGCTGTTATAAAAACTAGAGGTGGTGCAACAAAGTACTAGTGGTGTACTGTTGTTGGTTTTTGTTTCACGATTCCATAATTTACTTAGAATTGAGTGATTCCATATTTTCTTCCTCTGCTTGGTCTGCAAAAACAGTTGCAACTGAGTACAGTTTTTTTTTTTTGTTTTTTTTAAGTGTTTCTTAAAGCCAGAAGGTTGGAATGTTAACTGAAAATAGTTTGGAGGCATATCTGTGATTGTTATTTTTTTCTACACAATTAAACAATTGAATGAATATTTTTCAAGACTGGTGATTCCATACCTTTTGCCAGGAGTTGTAAGTGAACAAGCCAGGGTCCAGTAACAGATGTAGCAGGTAGTGATCAGGTAGAAGCGTAGTTAGTGAACAAGCCAAAGGTCAATAACAAGTGGTTTCAGGTTGGGATCAAGCGGAAGCATAGTGGAGGAACAAGCCAAAGGTTGGTAACAAATGGTAGTGAAGATAAGGATAGCTGCAGGCACCGAAGGAACAAGATATTGGCTAGACAGAGCACAACATTCATTCATGGGATGGGAAGACCAAAAGAGTTCAAGGTTCACCAGAAACAAGATTCAAAGCAAGATTGTCGAAGACATTG